ATATATATATATATATATATATATATATATATATATATATATATATAATATGAATATAATATATATATATATATATATAATATGAATATAATATGAACATATGAATGTTTAAAGGTTCTTAAAAGTAATGCTTTTATTCCATACATAATTTGTAAAAAAAAATGTTTTCACAAAACTAGGAGCATTAGTTTTTTTAAAATGAGAAACTTGTAACTATACGTTTTGTTGAGATGTTTCGTCCTTCATCCAAAGGATTTCTTCAGTCCAAGGAGCCACAACAAACTGTGCCCCATGAGGTGCACACTCCCATAGTGGACCAACCACTTTGCTGGTGATGAAATTGTTTTTTGGGCCCGCCATCTCCTCTTAGGCAGCCATAGTTAAAGTGGTTCAAAACATCAAAGATTATTGAGCATGAACTTTGATGTTTTGAACCACTTTGGCTATGGCTGCCTGAGAGGAATCGACAGGGGAGAGGGCGGGCCCCAGAAACTATCTTATCACAACAACCATTTATGGAATGTGCTGCTTGTGGGACTGAGTTTGATTGTGGCTCCTCGGACTGAATAAGTCCTTCGGATGAAGGCCCAAACATCTCAACAAAGAAACCGTCCAGATGACCTGACTGAACTGGGTTACTTAGTGTCATTTATCTAATTCTTGAAATTACCGGGGTTAAAAAAAAAAATAATAATAATCCAGATATTTATTTACCAGTTAGTAGATCTGTACATTTACTACTACAACCTCCCAAACTTCAGTGAGAATGTTTATTTTCAGAATGCATATCTGGATAAATGCTATAAAGTCATGAGACATATGCCACATTTATTTGAAATGTCATACAGTGAAGCATTTCATAAAAGCTACTTAAAACACCTCCCACATAGCAGAACGATGCAACAACCGGAGCATTTTTAGAGTGATGGCTACGTGTTTGTTTACTAAGAGGAGGTGACACCAGCGCTGGCAGCAGGATCAGGAAACTCAGCGGCCTCTCTGGGAGGTGTTAGACTGTAAATATTATTGGCATGCTGACGGTCTCCCACAATGCCACGGTGTGTAAAATCGTTAACAAGCAACATAATGGGCTTTCTCTTTCCCCAAGGTGTGAATGTGAACGGAGTGTTTTTATCCACCATTATCCAAAGAGGTGTCATTTGATACGTTTGGAAAACAGAAACCGGTTTTAATGGTTTCGTTTTTGAGAGACAGTGTGTTCTGCTTCATATACGAGTCAACTGCACAGAAAACATTTGATGAGACGCGCTGCAGAGCACAATACATCAGCTTTTAATTTGTGAAAATACAAAATGAAATCATGTACAATTTATGTACAAAGCTATTTATACAAGACAATAAACTGTATTTATTATGTGTAATGAAAGGTATTACCTTAAGACCGTCTTTATTTTTGACAAATCGTGCTTAAAAAAAAAAAAAAAACCAGCACAAAATGATAGAAATGAGCCTGCAATGCTGAATGTGTCTCAACACCACAGTTACTGTCAAACGAGAACACACTACAAAGAAATACTTTACAGGAATCTTTACAGATTTACATCGAACGCGATGCTTTTTAAACAGTGAGGGTAAAGGTCAAGTTTTAAGACATTTGGAAATCGTTCACCACAGTTGTGGTTGGAAAGCTAAACTAGAAGCCCCTTTTCGCAGCAGTGGGTCTTCCTCGAGTCCTCCGTTGGCTTCAGCACTGCCTGGCACATTACTGGCACAGAGGGATGGACAGCTTGGCTGTTCTGTGCCAAAAAAACAACAACGTAATAACAGGTTTTCTCCCCCTTTTTTAATAAATAAAAAATAAAAAAACATACAATGTGCAGTGATGCATCATCTGTGGATTTAGAATGTCACGGACTAATGTTTTTCGTCTTTCCATCCCACTTACTAATCCTGAAGTAAAGTGACAACAGTGCCAATATAGCTGTATTCCATTATTTATATAAGACATAATTCATACCAATGACACTCTGCTTCCTGTGCATCCAGACCAAAACACACTGCTTTATAAGCTATACATAGTTTTATGAATACACAAAGAAAATATTTCATTAAGGTGCTGTCTGAACACGGGAAAATTGGTTTTATGATAGAGCCGTTTGTCCTGTATGTACAAAACGCAGCGATTATGGCGTTCAGATTGGTCATGGAGTACATTCAAGTTGCCTCATGCCCTCCAAGACAATCCTGTGTCAGGCAGTGCTTACAGCCAAAGGAGGACTTACAGATGCCCACTTCATGCGATATGTGGCTTTCACGCTTAACTTGCCTACAGACTTTAAAATACTGCAGCACGTAGCAGCTGGCTGTAGCGTTTCATGTGAATTGATAGCTCTTATATCGTGCGAGTTCGTCAACAAAACAGCTCTATCATAAATGACAAAATCTTTGGAGAGAATTTTCTGGGAGTTTTGGTGATTAAAATCCAAAAATAAAAATTAAAAACAGAAGAAGAATTATTTATAAACTTTAAAAGGCAAAGATAAGACAAATGTATATGGATAAGGCTGGAGCCAAATGCCATTTAAATATGGACGCTGGCTGTTTATAAACGGTCACAAATGTTGTGAATTAGCTCGAAATGGCAAAGAAATTACTGAGAGTCAGTCACCAACTATGCCATTCTGATGGGGGGGGGGGGGGGGGGGCTGCAGCTGGACATAAAATACACAAACTGTACAGAATAATTCAACAATACTGAGTGACTTCAGTGTAGTGGATCATGAACAGCTAAAAAGGCGACTTTAATACCGTAATTTCCGGTCTATAAGCCGCTACTTTTTTTACATGCTTTGAACACCACAGCTTATACTGTGAAAAATTTATGGATTTTACTTTATTTATTTATATTTTGATGGGCTAACGAGCTTCATGTCTCTAAAACATTTAGACTCGTCACACCAGGGCGCTCACATAGCTGCCCAGTTACACGTCCCTCTTGGGGAGTGGGTCCTCGTGACTCAGTGAGATTAGCTGTATAAATAAAGGTACAACATAAAAAACTGACAAATGAAAATATGGAACCGGTCACAGGCACAACAAAGTATTTTCAGCCACTCAAAATAAGTATGCATTAATGTGGCACTCCGAGCTTGGTGGGAGAAGGAAGATGAAGATAGCAAACAATGACTTCCTGTTAGGTTACTGTACTTATTATTATTTTTTTTTTACCAGCTGTGTTACAGGCACTGTTAAGGGAAAAAAAAACAACAACTTTACGTACTTATGTAAGTTATTGGTACGCATTTAATTAAAAGTTTGGGGAAAAAAATCTGCGTAAATATCTCATGTTACAATGTGGCTACATAAGTGCAGCCTATATATGTACAAAATTATTTTTCTTTTTAAATTCAGTGGGCGTGGCTTATATTCAGGTGCGCTCAATAGTCCGGAAATTACGGTAGTTTGAAATGTCTAGTAATGAAGGTATTACGCTCTGGTCCTCTTATAGTTTGTTACATAACTCTGAAGTGAATAATAGAGGAAGAGACTGGTCACTTTTACAAACTGATTGTGCAAACTATAGCTGACTGGTGGCAACATTTGACTGATTGTCATGTTTTGAAAAAATAAAATAAAAAAACCTCATATGAATTTGCAGCTGAAGTGGGAAAAAAAGGAGAAAGCAGTTCTTGTTTCGTTTAAAGTGTGATGATTTATGTTTGCAGATGAGATGTCCCGAGTTCCAGGCTGACAGCCTTACACAGCCAGTCCTCTCTGGGAGTCCCGGGTCCAGCTGTCAGCACTCGTCCTCCGCTTCTCTGATGGGCTGAATCAAGCTGCTCGTGGGTTGTTTCTGACCAACTTGGTTGATGGCGAGAGTATTCACAGGATTGATCTGCAGGGTCCTCAGGTGGGTTTTCTCTGGCTCATCTATAAACCATGTCTTTTCTGAGAAACAGCCAAAATCATAGAGACAAAGAAGGAGGGGGGAGACATCAGATGGTTAATGCTACACGAAGGTTGGTTATGATTTCATTCCTGTGCACACATCGTCGGATGGACACTGCACTTTAAAGAAATCTGTTTGAATTGATGGCGTTAAGAAGAATTCTAACCGGTGGACATAAATTAATATTCTAGTTTCACAGCTGAAATGTAAAAAAAAAAGTACTGTGCAAAAGTTTCAAACATTATTAATTTATTTAATACTTTGCTTCCGGAGAGCCAGACTTTCTTGTGGTTTTAATTAAAATTTTCAGGCTTCGGCTGATTTTTCACACATTATCTGTCCAGTCCTTGTATCTGGTCAATATGTTGTTCAGTGTGCGCTTAAAGAATGATAAATGTGGACAAGTGGGGGGCCAAAAATAATAAGAAATTAGGGGGTGGGGGTGGGATAGCAATCCAAGAGATAAAGCTTCATCTACTGTATTTCAGCTGTATTTATCTTTTTTATAAACAAAGTTTATGAAAAACTAGTAACAAGGTGCCTAAAGATCCACTTAAGTTATCTGCCAAGTTGTCTGTTATGCATCAACGAAACATTAATTCATTCCTGGAATTTATACGCTTTCAAACACTCCTCTGAAAAGTCAAGAAGTAAGCTAAATTATTATTTTTTTAAGTGCAGCCAAAGTCCAGAAAAAACACTTTGAAAGATCTTTAAAACGCCTGAAGAAGTGTTGCTTAAGATCACTTCAAGATATTATAAGAAAATCTGGCTCGCTGGGAACAAAATATAAACAGATGAGTGTTGAATGAAGACTTTTCCATAGTTTTGTTGAATAAATCAACAAGTGAAACATGCTGTTTTGCTTCAGTCAGCAGGCATGCACAGCACCAATTAAACATTTTTCTTACTTTAACCTTCCATAACACTAAAGTACTTTGTAGACTTATAGTTTTATGAGGCTTTTGACTTAATGCGTCTTTCTTTAAACAAAGAAGTGATTGGTCTGGTGCTTTATATCACTGATGAACGTCAATAGTTAGGCCTGTCGCGATAAACAATAACTCAGTCGCATGATAAATGAAAATTATCTACCTCATTTTCATTTATCGGCTTTATTGTTTCTTTGCGTCTCTCTTTCTACTGAAGACACTGGATGACAAAAGGCTCAACTCCGGTGCTCTTCACTGAACCCTCCCTTTCTCTTTTCCCTTTAAAATACATTTTAACGATCCAAAATTGCGTTTTTGGATCGTAAAAAGTAGCTAAGCTGAGAAGCTAAGCTACAAGCTAAGCTAACAGGCAGACCTCGGGAATAAATCTCCGTCTTGTCGAAGCTCCAAAATTCACGGTTGAAACCTGTGTCTTCTTCTAAAACGTTTTTCCTCTGCAAAAAGAAGGTGAGAACTTGTTTACTCATTTTTTAATTAACATTTTTGTGTGGAAAAATGCTATGCTAAAGAACTCAAACCACACCGAGCGTCCGCCATTTTAAGAATCAAAGAGAGACAACCCATGTCACGTCAAGGGGACTGTCATTCCCCTATCTGTTACGGAAGCACGATCCCTAGTGTACTTCCGGGTCGCACGGATCGCCGTTGTTTAGGAATAAAAACAGTCTTAATTTATTGAAAAAAGTACGTGCTCTATCGCCACTGATCTTCATGTAGCTAATTTATGCCACTCGTATTTCCGTTACAATTGGTTAAGATGATATGTGATGTATTAGACCTGACCCCCAGCCTGGACTAAATGAGGGAAAAAAACCTGCAAGATACAGAATGAATTATTTCCATGGTGAAACAGCGCCACTCAGTGGCGAAGCTGCATATCATTTTAACCATGACGTAAATTTGTCAATGATTTTGACAGAAATACGAGTGGAGTAAATTAGCAACATGCAAATCACCAGAGATAGAGCACATACTTTTCTAAGTAAATTAAGACAGTTCTTATTCTTAAACGGAATTATACTAGTACATTTTCCTTAATCTAGCATATTCAATGGCAATCTGTGCGACCCGGAAGTATTCCTTTTAGCGCATGCGCAAATGAGCAACACTACGGATCATGCTTCCGTAACAGATCGGGGAATGACAAGGCCTCCCCCCCATTTTCTTAAAGTGACACGCTCCTGGCTCCCTCATCCTTCGGTTCAAACAGTCTTATACTGCCATCCAGTGGTCAAAAAAAGTACTACACACAAAATTAAACCAACAGTTCTTCTTAAATTTGACAATTACTAATTATTGTCAAATTTAAAACAATATTATCATTTATCGCAATATTTTCTGAGACAATTAATCGCCCAGGAAAATTTGTTATCGTGACAGGCCTATCAATAGTCATGCATTCTTTACTTAGAATAAAGGCTGTAGTGGTGCGATGCCTTTACATATGTCAGCAGATAAATATCAAACTTCAAATGATATGGATTAAAGTGAAATAGCATCAAAACATCCAGTTGCAAACAACATTCTGCAGTCAAACCTACAGTGAGATGTGCTGCACAGGTTAGACCCATGCAGTCAAACTTGCTGGGCTTCCATTCAGAAGGCAACATGTCAGCAAGTGCATGACCGTGCTCAGTGCATTATTTAACATCATGCATAATTACTTAATTCCATACCTTGCCCAACTCTATTGATCCTTGTTGCACTTTAGAAAAAGAAAGTAGTACACTACATGTAAGCTAAATGGAAAATGTGACCATTAATTAAAAAAACTGATGCGGAAGAGGAGAAATAAATGCATAATGTCATCTTATTTAAAATGGAGAGTAGGTTAAACAGTAAGTTGGTGTAAAAATCAACAGAAATTAAAGTATTATTAAGCAGCTGCCATGCTTTCATGCCAGTCTTAAAGCAGCTGAAGGGATGATTCCTGATCCCTGTTCAGAATGGACTCTAAATCCCAGAGAAACATGCAGCTAACATATCAAACGTGCCACATATAAACTAAGCATCAGTTTAGTAAATGTTACTTTTTAAACTGTGACATTTAGGCAAATGAGCATTAAGCAGATTGTTAACCATAACAAGCTGGTGGTCTTTCAGCAGCTGGGACATGAGTTTTACTTGTAGTGAACAAAGAGGAAAAGAACATGCTTGTAGTCTGCATACCTCTGCCATTTCTGAATATAAAAAAAACAACAACGAGGTATTTGTAGTGAAGATGAACCAGTCACAAAGACTAGAAGAGCACTGGTCAACAGACGGCAGTCAAAATCTGAACTTCACTTGGAATGTTCTTTGCAATAACTCAACGTAGATTTTTTAAACAAATACTTATGTGATTGGGCCAGCCACTGGTGTAGAGTGGTGTTTAGTTTAAAACATTAAAATTTACTTTGAATATACATTGCTCCCCCCCCCCCCCACACAAAAAAAAAAAAAGTCTCCACCTGGATTTAACTAAGCCAATAGGTACGAGCCTCCAATTGGATAATTACTTCATGGGTGATTATCTTTCAGCTGGCAACAAGTTATTTAACCCCAACTGGTGCAATGAGTTGCTTCTCATTTCTTAAACAACCATGTTGAAAGACACATCGTGTGGTCGTGGAAAAGATGTCGGCCTGTTTGAGAAGGGTCAAATCATTGGTATCAAGCAGAGAAAACATCTAAAGAGATTACAGAAACTACTAGAATTGGGTTAAGAACTGTCCAACGCATTATTAAAAACTGGAAGGATAGTGGGGACCCATCGTCTTCGAGGAAGAAATGTGGCCGGAAAAAAATCCTGAATGATCGTGATCGACGATCACTTAAACGTTTGGTGAAATCAGATAGAAGAAAAACAACAGTAGCACTCTGGGCTATGTTTAGTAATGAAAGTAAGAGCATTTCCACACGCACAATGCAAAGGGAACTCAAGGGATTGGGACTGAACAGCTGTGTAGCCTTAAGAAAACCAGTAATCAGTGAAGCTAACTGGAGAAAAAAAAGGCTTCAATTTGCTAGGGAGCATAAAGATTGGACTCTGGAGCAATGGAAGAAGGTCATGTGATCTGATGAGTCCAGATTGACTCTGTTCCAGAGTGATGGATGCATCAGGGTTAAGGTCTGGACTCTGTGGTGGCCAATCCATGTGTAGAAAATCATGTCTCATGCTTCCAGAACCACTCTTTCACAATACGAGCCCGATGAAGACTGACATTGTCAACTTGGAATATGCCCGAGTCATCAGGGAAGAAAAAAATCCATTGATGGAATAACCTGGTCATTCAGTATATTCAGGTAGTCAGCTGACCTCATTCTTTGAAACATACTGTTGCTGAACCAAGACCTGACCAACTGCAGCAACCCCAGATCATAGCACTGCCCCCATAGGCTTGTACAGTAGGCATTAGGCATGATGGGTGCATCACTTCACCTGCCTCTCTTCTTACCCCATTGAGAATCTTTGGGATTTGTTGGAAAAGGCTTTGCGCAGTGATCCGAATCTGCCATCATCAATGCAAGATCTTGGTAAAAAATTAATGCAACACTGGATGGAAACAGATCTTGTGACATTGCAGAAGCTTATCGAAACAACGCCACAGCGAATGCATGCTGTAATCAAAGCTAAAGGTGGTCCAACGAAATATTAGTGTGTGACCTTTCTTTTTTTTGATGGTGACTTTTTTTTTTTGGCCAGGCAGTGTATGTGGAAAATGTGTCACTTAACTGTACACACCAACTTTAATGATCTTTAGAGTAATACTGTATGTCAAAGTTCATGCTAAATACTCCAGGTAAAAAAATCCAACAAAGTCAGGTCACCTGGACAGTTTCTTTTTTTTTTTTTGTTGAGACGTTTCATCCTTCATCCAAAGGACTTCATCAGTCCGAGGAGCCACAACAAACTCAGTCCCACAAACAGCACACTCATGTAGTGGGCCAACCAGTTTGCTGGTGATAATATGGTTTCTGGGGCCCGCCCTCTCCCTCGTGGACTCCTCTGAGGCAGCCATAGCCAAAGTGGTTCAAAACATCAAAGTTCATGCTCAATAATCCAGGTAAAAAAAATCCAACCATCTTGTCACCAGCAAACTGGTTAGCCCACTACGTGAAGGTGACGTTTCTGGGACTGAGTTTGTTGTGGCTCCTCGGACTGATGAAGTCCTTTGGATGAAGGATGAACTGTCTCAACAACAACAACAAAAAAACTGTCCCGATGATCTGACTTAACTTTGTTGGGTAATACTGTGCATTTCCAGTTTAGTACCGGCACTATAGCGTTTGGGACAGGTTCCACCCTCATGTATAATAACTGGACATTTCATTTGGTCATGGTGCTGTTTTGCAAAACAGTCAGAATAGCATTTGTTCTGAGAGCTACCCTGGATTAATAGGTGCCAAGTACCTCGGCTGACACTAACGCACCTCCTGCGGTAGATTTATGTGAAGTTCTCCACACATTAGAGAGTTCTTTCACTTGACAGCTGCATTTTACGCACATAAATGCTGTATAACAGCCAGTTTCCAGAAGGGATAGTCCATTTGGGTTTGAAATCAGAACGATTAGAGGCTGTTTGTAGAAACGCTCGTCTGATTCAAACTGCTGTGCTGGTTTTTTATTGAACTTGAGTGCCTCATAAACAACTGGCCATAGGCAAACAACGTCATGCGCACTAAATGACATTCAGAACAACTAAGTGTCCTACCAGAGCAAAGACCAGCTCAGATGAGTGAAAACAGAAGCTGAACTGAGACCAAACTCTGAACCTACAGAGCTGATTGGTTTGTCCGTCTTGTGAAAAGCTAATGTTGAATTTGCTTGTATCAATGTCTTTGCTGGATGCCCTTTTAGCTGGAGAACATGGTTTGTTGTTGGTCCGCTTCGCTTTCAATCAATAGCAAGAATGCAGTTCCTCCATTTTTATTTAACAAAATATTTAGCTGCTATGCTTAGTCCAAAATATGAGAATCTATGCTGCATTCCAGTTACCTGTAAGAACTTAGCCGTGTTCAAGTTTCAAGTCAGAAAGCCAGCAATTGTATTTTTGTACTACCAGATGGACCCACTTTTCCTTCAGAACTGTCGTAATACTTTGTGGCATAGAAGCAATGTGTTGGAAAATTACTCACATTTTGCTCCTTATTGACATCACGGCTTCCTGCATTTGATGCATACCTGTTGGATGCACATTTATGATTCTACTCTCCTATTGCACCGCATCACAAAGGTGCTCAATTGGATCAAGATCTAGTGACTGTAGAGACCTGGCAATATATTTCCAACCTCTTATTTTTTCCATTTTGGTGAGCCTGCGTGCGCCTCGGCTTCCTGTGTTTGGCTGACAGGAAGATCACAAACTGTAGTTTAATCCCAGTAAACCCACAGCCTGAAATGCTCCCACCATCCCAACAACCACTCCACGTTCAACGTCTCTTAAATTTCGTTTTCTCCATTCTGATGCTCGGTTTGAATTTCAGCAAGTGTTCACATCTAGATGCATGCAGTTGCTTCCACTTGTGTTAACAAGTAAATGTTCCTAATAAATTGGCCTGTTATTGAACAGTTTAAACCAAATGTTTATATATACTGTATATAAAAAAAAATGTCAACCATATTTTTAAATCTAATATCTGGCATTAAATCGGACTAAACTGCTCCTTATTTGGTCAGTTGGCTTTCACAAAATTATTTCTATTTGCTGAATGACCCAATAATGAAAAAATGATACAAAACATACTTATTCAGGCATTCAGCAAATATAAATAATCAGTTTGGCACACTATTAAACAGTGGGCCAACTTTTTTTCTCTTGGCTTTATATAGATGTTGACTGGTCCTTTATACAATGTGCCATGCAAGAAACAAATGTTAAAATTTTCTGATGAATTAATTTTTAACCTATTTGTTAAACTATAGCTTTCATCAAAGTCAACTTTATTGTTCATTGTGTACTAGGCAGTGTAAAATAATCTTCAGAGCCATCCATCATTTTCTGCTTGTTCCAGAGTTGTGTTACAGGGGCAGCAGCTTGAACGGGATAGGCCCAGACATCACTTTCTACATCCACCTCCTCTGTGAGGACTCTGAGACTTTCCCAGTCCAACCGAGACGTAGTCTCTCCAGGGTCTCCTTCCCTCAGAAATGCTCAGAAACCTTCACTAGGGAGATGTCCAGGGAGCATCCTTACCAGATGCCCGACCCACTTCAACCGGCTCCTCTCGATGTGAAGGAGCAGTGGCTCTCCTTGGTCTCTCCTAAGGAGGAGTCCAGCTACCCTAAAGAGAAAATTCATTTCAACCGCTTGTATCCATGATCTGGTTCTTTTGGTCACTACCCAAAGTTTGTGACCACAGATGAAAGAAGGAATGTAGACCGACCGGTAAACAGAGAGCTTCGCCTTGCAGCTCAGCACCGATCCGTCTGATCTCTCACTCCATTCTTTCCTCACTCGTGAACAAAACCTGAGGTACTTGAACTTCTCCACTTGAGGTAGCACCTCACCCCCCAACCCGAAGAGGGCAATCCACTCTTTTCCAACTGAGGACCATGGTGTCAGATTTGGAGGTGCTGATCCTCATCCCATCCACTTTACTCTGTTACATACCACTCCACTGAGAGCTGAGCAGCACAATGACGCCAACAGGACCACATCATCTGCAAATAGCAGAATCCTGAAGACATGGGACCGGACGTTCTCCGCCCCCTGGCTGCACTGGGAAATTCTGTCTATAAAAGTCATGAACAGAACTGATGACAACATGACCATTTCTAGCAGAGTCTTTGACCTGATATGTTACACATGTCCTGATCATGTTTTTTTTTCCTTCCCCATACTTGCTCCATCGATAAAGGTTTGTTGGCACTAGTTTCTTGTGCGCCTTGCGCTAACGAGTAATTACAGCTTCAGAAAAAGTTCTATATGCAGAAAGTGCTTATTTAAAAAAAAAAATGCAATGGCTCAGTCGCCATGGAGACGTTGTGGGAGGAGAAGACTGATTAGGCCTGTCGCAATGAATAATCACATGATAAATGAAAATTATTGACCTCGTTTTCATTTATTGGCTTTATCGTTTTTTCTTGTGTCTCTTTCTACTGAAGACACTGGATGACAAAAAGCTCAACTCCGGTGCTCTTCACTGACCCCTCCCTTTCTCTTTAAAATCTGTTTTAACCGTCCAAAATGGCGTTTTTGGATTGTTAAAAGCAGCTACGCTGAGAAGCTAAGCTACAAGCTAAGCTAACAGGCCAACCACAGGGGAAAAAAACCCCTCCGTCTTGTCGAGTTCCAAAATTCACAGTTGAAACCCGTGCCTTCGTGTAAAAAGTTGTTTTTCTCTGCAAAAAGAAACTGAGAATTTGTTTACTGATTTTTTAAATTTTTATTAAAAGCTTTGTGTGAAAAATGCTATGCTAGAGCTCAAATCACACCGAGCATCCGCCATTTTGAGAACCGAAGACAGACAGCCCATGTCATGTCAAGGGGCCACCCTCCAATTTTTTTTAGAGAGACAGGCTTCTTGCTCCCTCACTATCCATCCTTCGGTTCAAACAGTCTTATACTGCCATCCGGTGGTCGAAAAAAGGTACTACATTCAAAACAAATTCAACATTTCTTCTTAAATTTGACAATAATTACTAATTGTCAAATTTCAAACAATATTATGAAATTATAAATAATTATAATGTTATTAAGAAATTGCTCTTGGATGACATAAAGCCATAATAGACCATACTGACGTGGGAGCTGAAAATGCCAGGTACTTTAAAACCAAACACTTTGACTTGGAATAATCCTAATAACGAAACCGTTACTTAGTCACTAAACTTAACAAAGTGGAGGGGAAAAAAGATGTAAAAACAAAAAAAATTTAGTTGTGACTTTATTGTAACAGCCTTTGAAAAATGACAACTACTACTTCATGGTGGCAAGTAACAATCAAAAGTAAACCATTTCATTGTAAATAAAAAGGTAATGGGGCTGTGCAGTATTTCACAGAAGATTTTTAAGACATTCATAAGTACTGTACAATTCAAGTACACCTTAAAAAGTAAAATAGACAAAATAGAAAATAGATAAGTTTTAACAAAGCAGACGTTGAAGAGATGGACAGATTCTGTAAGAAGACACGTTTTAACACACAACTGCAGTAAAGCTAAAAAGATACTTGAGTAGACCTTTTAATTGCATAATTAGGACATTATCACCAAAATGTTTTGCAGGAGGTGGCTCTGTATGTGCAGGTAAGGCCACTGTTAGAAGATGAAACGATAGTGGCTAATAATACAAATAAAACGAGCACAGAAGTTAAATAACCATTTAAATGTACTTTATAAAAGTAAGTCTGCATTACCAGGCAGTGTTTTAGTTGAATTGTTCTGCTCTACATGTGCGCTTAAATACATTGTAGAGTTTTGGATGCATTTCCACTGTTAAAAGAAAAATAAAGCACCTAATTGTTAATACTGACTTGAGGAAAATGAAAAGCTCAGTGCATGGAGGTCTCAAAAAATGCAAAAGCCTTGATATTCTCTTACACTGCCCTCGGTAAGGGGCCACTCCTGTTCAACAGAGTAAAACTTTAAATAAGTCATTATTTTCAAAGATGACAAGTGACAAAAACATGCACATCCAGACGAACATACATACATCAACGGCCAGATGTGGTATAATCTGTCTGAACCCTGAAAAACGACACAGGACAAGACTGCTGGCAGGCACAGTTTACTGACACAAACAGGCTGAGAGCTTTAGAGGGGCACATACTTTTGTTTGTCTCGCGAGTCCCTGCTTTTGGTACGATTGGTTCGGTTTGCAGTTGTGATAGAGTGGACGGAGGAGCTTTTTTTGCTCGAAGAATGTGAAGAATGAGATGAGTGTGAAAGGCTGGTCCAAGACTGGCCGGCGTTATGGTCAAACTGCATCAGGCAGAATATCAGGTCAGAGGGCACCAGCTCAAATGCATACGGTGGATTGGTTATGACATACCTGGAAGACAAACGGACCAAATGTGAAGTGTGTAAATATCAGCTTTGAGCATCTTAAGAGTCAGGACCCTTACTCACCGTTTGGTGCACTGGCTTTGTGTGTTTAGATGTGCATCTCGCAATCGATAGATGCCGAAACACAACATGTTGTATGTTTTCAGGGCTTTACAGAACAGGTCACCATAACAACCACCATCCTGCAAAAGACCAGAAGAAAACCATGCCTTTAAAAAGTTACAACTGTTTGGGAATTGCTACATTTTTAGTCCTCCTCCTCCTCTTGTGGCCTGCTGCCCCTTCAGAAGCCAAGCCCTATGACGGAACTTTAAGACCACGCTAAGAAAAATAATTTAAAGCTATAAAATTACAAGAATAAAGTCATACAAGACTTTTTTTCTCACGAGTCGGATCCATGAAGCGACCTGTCAATCAGTTCCGTAGGCGTGTCAGCAAATCCGAAACTGACCAATCCAAAACTAAATGAACTGTAATATTATCTGAACTCCGACACGATAAAAATAAAATGAAGAATGTTTGTTAAACTTTATTGTTATTGACGCTCTTATGCAAAAACGTGTTCCAATACTGCCACCTGATGTTGTGTTTTTGTACGTTGCTTCTGGGATGCATATACGTGACGTCATTACGTCACGACTTTCGTTTTTGTTTCCGTTTGAAAATGGCGCTCAGTGAGAGAAACTGTAATCTGTTAGCACATCATCATCAGATTATAATCAATATCAGGACTTTGAACCTGCTTACAGTAAGGTGGTACGTTCCAGCTCTCTGCAGGTAAGGAGCATTTAGCTTCGGATTGGTCATTTGCTGACACTGACACGCCTACTGGATTGATTGACAGGTCGCGTCATGGATCTGACTTGTGGGAAAAAAAAAATCTCGTGCAACTTTATTCTCATAATTTTATAGCTTTTAATTTTTTTTCTTAGCGAGGCCCTAAAGCTCCGTCGTAAAGTCCAGCCTGCAAACTCAAAATTTATTTATTTTCAAAATTCTGCGTCAAGACTATTAGACAATGTGCAAATTGAGAGTTTGTTCAGATGTTTTATATGCATCTAAGTGTAAATTCATGAATGCCACTAATTCTAAAATTATGAGCAGTTTGCTAGAGACAGGACACGTGCTGGGTGGTTTCTCTTTAGGTAATCTGAAGAATATAAAGTTATTAACATATGCTGTTGCATAAAGCCCTATATGCGCGGGATTAGTTTTACCTAGGGATCACATGCTATTTGTAATAATTACAGAGATTGTCTGTGTTGTTAATCTCATGCAAATCAGCCATGTCAGTAATTTAAGTAAAAATTCCCTACTATATTTTGCTTAACTCCGAGGTCCTATGATAATACTAATCCAATGCGAATAGGCATCTTTGTGATTAGGACAGAAATGGGTGGGATCCAATATATAATTAGGCAGTTTTTGTTTCCTGGGTGCATTTGTATTTGCTTTTGGCAGTGGAGGCTGCATTGAGTGCATAAATAACCTTTTGTGTCCCGGAGCAGCAAAAGCCTATCAACCTGTAACAGTCGCCAAAAAAAAAAAGAAAAGGCTGAAGGAGCAAGCGAATACACAAGCAGATGTTATGCAATATGTAGCATGTTATCATAGCCGGAAGATGTCCATAAATCTCAGGCTTTGGTTATCCCGTGCAAATGCGCCACATAAAAAGCAGACATTGGGGAGTAATTTATTTATTACATGTGGTCCCTAGGTAAAACTAATCCCATGCAAATAGGGCTAAAGAAACCACTGGAAATAAACTGTTAATGTGCGAGTATACAAATCCACACTGATCTCTTGGAAATTACGGTGCATGCAATCTGGCACAGAGACGCAAATCTGATTTTAGCAGCTGTCACAACAATTTTAGCCAATTCTCCAGCTACGTATAACTGCAGACAAGTGCATTCTTCTGCATAGATTTAGATTTTCATCAAACGTAAAATATAATTCACTAGGAGCTACATTTTGTTTACATATCTGTGATGTATTTTTCACAATGACCATGTTGTAAAGATGCATCGTTTTGAAATAACGCAACTGAACGTCACACAGCTACGATGGTCACACACATACGATGGTCACACACATCTGTTTTATGTCTCCGCTTCATAAAACACAGCAAGACTTAAAAGTCTGAATTCTTTCACTGAAGGCAGCTTCCATTATATGAGACGACAAAGGTGGCCTCAGCAGCTGGCTGACAAGACTGCTCACTTACCCCGAGGTCAGCAAAGGGCCCGTCATACAAGGCCAGCTGTGCCACACGACACCTGTCCCTGTTCGCCAGAGTCTGTGGCGTGCTGTAGCCACCACGTAATGCATTTTCCTCGGCCAGTAGCCCCTCAAGCTCTGGCGTTGCCCCGCCTGTTACCAACGTCCGGATCAAGGTGAGGATGTTATCATTGAAGTATGTCTGAAAAAATAGAGTTAAAGGGGATAAATCCTTTAGCAAATGTCACCCAAGTTGAAAATGAGCTTTCTCAACCATTAAATCATCAGTATTTTTACTAGGATATTTTTCCAATCTACTACTTGAAAAGTACCCCTCATTAATATACTGTTTGCTGTAGTCGCAATTCCTTCCAGTTACTGGTTTGAGTTTAACAAGGGGAAATGTCTACCCTTTGGACTGCAGTCCCCCTTCTCCCCATGCTTGTGCTTCAAAGTGACATCTCCCTTGGCTCCTGACAGCACTATTGACTAAGATGATGGATGAGGGCTGTCCACTAGGTAGCATTACCTTTGTCTACACTTGAAGGCAGCTTTGTTCTAACCTCACTCAAACTGAAAAGTAGACAAATGAAGCCATAATGACCGCTACAAGTTCCAGCGTCATCATTTACAATTTTAAGTACCGTATTTTCCACAGTACATGTCGCTCCACCCTATAAGTCGCATCAGTCCATATTCGTCTAATAAAGTGGAAAAATCCATAAATATATCGCTTCGCCATATACGTCGCATGCATCATCGCTGACTCGTCGCGTTTGTTACGGGCCACCGCTGACAACCCGGAAATGTGGGCCAGTGTTGTGCCAAAAATCGATGAGCTGCCAAATGGCGGCTGTGGGAGCGTGCGCGGGAAGACTAACAAGAATTTAACAAGATTAACACTTAAAAACAATTATTTATTTGCTCGAAATTATAGTAAATGTGTGTTTCAGTCTAACTTTTGCTTAATAAATGCACTTTGACGGTCAAATCAGCTGAATTTCAAAAATAGTTTCACTGCCTCGGTGCTCCGTGAACGCGCAAGGAGGAGAAAAAAAGAGGAGGAACATGGCTCGTTTCTCCGAAATTGAACAAGAAAAACACTGAAACAATTGTTTAATTACTCGAAATTATAGCATAGATGTGTCTCAGTCTAACATTTGCTTAATAAATGCACTTTAATGGTCAAATTAGCTGCATTTCGCATGCAGCTGTTTTGACGGTTCCAAGCAACGAGCAGAATGAAGGTGGAGAGAATATGGCAGGCCGATTGTGTCATTGAAGATCGAAGAAGATTCTCAGTCATCCAGGACATGGTAATGTCAAAAAAGTTAAAGAAAAAATAAAAGTTTAATAAATAAAGTCCAGTTGTTTTTGTCTTGAACTTTTCTGAATTTGTCATTATAGCCAAGTTTACCTATTACATGATGTAACATGATGCCATACTGCTACTACTACTACTACTACTACTCTGCTGCCATCAAGTGGCTGAAAGTGGTACTGCTCAATAAAAGTTTCCAGTCAGAATGAATGAAAACAGTCATATCTCAGCCAAAAATTGGTTTATAAATATGGGAAGATGTCCATAAATATGTCGCTTCAGCGGATAAGTTGCAGGGCATGTAAATGATGCAAAAAAGTGTGACCTGTAGGGCAGAAAATACAGTACTTATTTCAGTTGTGGTAGGTACTCCCATGTTTTGAAATCAAAACGTAACATATTTCTGCCTTTATTGTTCTACTGATTTGTTTTGTTGTTAGCTAAAGCATTTCTGACTTACAGCGCTCATTAAAGAGTCCAGCACACTGACTGCGAATGCCGTTCCACAGGCAAACGGCTGAGTGAGGTATAACTCCGTATCTGGGTCGTCGTCGTCGTCTTGGTCCAGGAACTGAACGTTGGAGTCATTAACTGTTGGGAAAAACATATACATTTCATGAATTATTCACGTTCTGCTTGTTTGCTTACAAAAACCTGTTCTTATGGAACGAGTTTGGTTAATAAAAAAAAAGCATGGATCAAGCAAAGTTCTTGAAAAGGAGACAAAATACAGTGGTTGTGCACAACAAGCAAAAAGCTGCAGATATGGACTGTACTGGGAATATGCACTAAATGTATTTGCTACAAATTTGAACAAATTCTCATTTAAGTGATGCCGTGTTTGGTATTTGCATTCAACAAACTTGCCTTTGCACATTCCATATCCAGACTATGCATGCACACGCATGACACCATGCATATTGTCAAACTTCCACAGCCCTCCTAAGGTCAGAATCAGTATAACCAATATGCCTTTGTTTGCCTTGTAAATCCAAGACAGAACTTCCAATTACTTGTACTTGCATGTCGGGTCAAATGACAGTAACTCATTGCCTCAGAAACCTTCTTTAAAGATGTCTTTGAGCACAAAAACACATGCAGTAGCTGGAAGAGGGCAATGATGTAAAATGTAGTTGGAGAACTGCTCCTTCTGTGAGGACAGAAATAAATGCCACTCATATCGACAGAGCCGAGATGAAAGGATGGCACGGGCCAGAGAATGTGATCCGACAGAAGATGCTACAAAAACAGCCACAAGGACTTCTGAGGGTTCAAAGGCCTTGTAATTCTTGGAAAAATAAAAGGGAACATTTTTGCTTTGAAATAAAAGGGAGCCAAAACAAGACAAGCAATTTCAACCAGAACCAAGGGTAGAAAATGTGCTCAAAGTGATGCCATGGGAATGAACCGAGCCTCTTGTGCAACGAGAAAAATCAAAAGAAAGCTGATATGGAGGCAGCGGCAGTTACAACACTGCAGCACGGGACACAGGCAGTTCTTACCCAGCTCGGTTATCATTTGTATGCTGGTCCCACTGCTTTTATCCTGACTGAATGAAATCGCAGGCACTTTTTTGCCTTGCTTTGCTAACGGTGCTAGACAAGTGTTGAGGAGAAACGGTTACTGGAACATGTCAACAAAAAGGCAAAACACACAGAAAAGCTCCACTTTTAGTTCGGTTAGCTTCTACCACTACAGACATTGAATGTTCTCATTACAAAAACACAAATCGTTTCATACAAATGTACAGCAGCAGCCATACCTAGTTCTGTTATGATGGGAATGTTTGCTCCAGTTGTGACGGAGGTCTGCCTTACTAATCCATGGACTGGGCTGTTCTCAGGAGAAGACCTATCCATCCCCGGTGGTGTGAAACCTTGATGGAGACACAAATAGCATGTTAATGCAATATTCAACACTTGAGAGGATCCAATCAGGCATATCAGAAGAAATAATGCACTGGGGCTATTTCATCTTTTCCCAGCTACTGGTAGACTTGCTTAGTTCAATGTTGTCGTCTTATAAAAGACCAATATTAGTTCATATATAATGGATGTGACACACGGCTCATTTTGTTTCTCTTCGACCGTGTGTGCATGGAGATGGAAACCTTTTACACGCATGCAGAAGAGAAAAAGACGTGTACCCCGCGCAGCCACGAAAGAGAAAATAAATGATGCAAGATTGAATTCAAATTGACGTGACATTTCTTGCTTTCCTCAGACTGACAAGTAAGCACATTAAATCAGTGATGTATGTATTATACATGTGCCATGTTTTGACATCCATCACTTACTGCTGACTAAGGCAAATGTGAGGTCATACATGTATTAGAAGAATAATGAAATTGGCAGTATTTTTTCAGCTTTATTTGGGCCAAAAGGTTTCTAAAAGCATTTTTTTAATGCTAACGGGCCACGATGAGCACCATCCGATGCGTCAGCTGTCATTTAGAAAGCTCCAACATACAATATTAATAAGCTAAATTGATATTTTGTACAAAGTACAACCACAATTCTAAAAGTTGGGACATTTGTAAATCATTGCATTAAATTTTTAATTATGGTTTACATGAATCTCATTAACCCATGTTTTATTTTGCAGTGAACTGTAATTTTGAATTTTACGGCAGAAAAATCAAAAAAAAAAAAAAAGAAGAAAGGAGCAGCAAAAGGCTATAAATGTATGTGGAGCATTTTGCAACAAATTTCCATATTTTTCAGACTATAAGGCACACTTTAAATCCTTTAATTTTCTCAAAAATCAACAGAGAGCCATATGTATTAATTCTGGTTGTGCTTACTGACCTCGATGTGGTACACGCCGCTCGAAAATCTGTCAGAATGTTTTAGTTTTGCTTAATGCGACTTATAATCCGGTGCGCCTTATAATCTGAAAAATACGGTAGGTTCATTGGAGCAGGTCAGAATGAAGAACGAAATAAAAAGGGCATTTTTGAGACGGATTGTGTCACAATTAAAGATGGGCAGAAGTTCAGCAGTCTGTAAAAAACTGTCCAAAAATAATGGAAGGAAAATTAGGCAGGTGGAATATTCTGTTTCAGGAGATTGGAGAAATTGCAGAATTGATGCTGAACAGTTTTTGTTTCAGCTGCTCCTTCAGAAGTCTCCACAGCATGCAAACTTCCCACGAAAGATTGGACTATTGTTTTACACCACACGCACTTCCTCATGTCCAAAATGCTGCAGCTCTGCTACTAACAGGAACTCATATGTTTGAGCACATTTCACCAGTTTTGTCCTCCCTTCACTGGCTCCCTGTGCATGTCGGAATTTATTTTAAAAATCTCCTGTTGATATTTTAAGTGCATTCATGGCCTTGCACCCTCATACTTCTCTGACCTACTTCAACCTTATGTTCTTGGGCAGTGAGATCATCTGATCAGCTGCTTTTGGTTGTACCAAAAACCAGACTGAAGCTCAGAGGAGATCTGGCTTTTTCAGGCATTGTCCCTAAACTCTGGAACAACCTGCCCCTCAACATTAGACAGGCCACTTCACTTCCTGCTTTTAAATCTCTCTTTAAAACACACCTGTGTTCACTAATGTTTAACACAGTGTGATTTGATTTAATATTTCATTGTTTTTGTGATTTATTTTTGATGCTTTTAATTACATCTTGTTCTTTTTATTGACTGCCTCACTTTGGTAACAGCTGCTGTTTCAAATGTGCTTTATAAATAAATTTGACTTGACGCAAACTGGCTCAAACCTACAGCCTCAAGATTACAAGAGTGTGGCTGGAACAATACATACTCCCAACCAAGCAATGTGCTTTTATAAGACGATGCAGAAATAAACTGCATACTGTATTCATTTATTCATTAACACAGCATGACTACCAGTATATACTGTACTTTTTGCATACATTAGCATGAACACTACCATTTTCAGCCGCTAGAGGGCCCTCGAGTAATATGGCAAGCCAAGTGTCTCATTAATATGTAAACGTGGCTATTAGTGAGACACTTGGCTTGCCATACACAGCCACCTTCATCTCGCTCTGGAACTCCTAGAGCAAACGTCAAATCGGCTTCATTTCACCGCGCCGCCCAGGTGAAATGCAGCTGATTTGACCAATAAAGTGCATTTATTAAGGAAAAGTTCAACTGAGACACACCTTTGATATAAGTTCGAGTAAACAAATTACTGACGCATAATAGAAGCGACTTATACGGCAGAAAGTATTGTAGTAGAAGAATCCAGGTTTACCATTAAATAATTTGGCATAGATGATCGAGCACTGTTAAACAGCTAGAAACCTACAAACAAAATGGACAGCATTCCCCACCATAACTTTCCATAACTGATCTATTCAGTTCTTAAACTTTTACTTACTGTTGTTCAAAGAGACGGTGCTTCACGGTGGCAAACACGCCCCTGTCCCGTCTTTTTTTGAGATGTGTTGCAGCCATCAAATTCAATATTTGTTTTTCTTCAAAAGAAATGGTATCGCTTCTTAGTTTAAATATTTGGCATGTTTACTATATTGCACTGCGAATAAAGCATTTATTTACGAGATAAATTATTCTATTCTGTTTGACATTTTACATGACATCCCAATTTTTTTGGGGGGAATCGAGGTAAGTCCAGTTACTAAAACAAGAAAACCTGTAAATGTCAGGCAAGGTTTTGTGCCAGAGTTCTGTGTATTCCCACCAATGAGGTTTGGAAAGTAACCAGTTGTTACAGTAACCTGAGGAATAGTCAAAAGGGTTTACCGTCATCTGCAGCAACAACAGGTCAGCCGTGCAGCGCGCAGTGAGAAATATTTTCTGTACCAAGGCCTTGTCCCTCCAAGGCGGTGCAATGAACGATGATATGGTGCTCTTACCTTGAGAATTGGCCTGCAAGACCCCAATGCTGTCGTCAAACTGCATGGATTTGATGTTGAGCGATGCCAAGATGCACTCTTTGTCCTGCAGCGATGCATCGTCAATATTGTTCTGATTGGCTGACAGGATGACACACATGTCGCAGAGGTTTATGTTGACAGCCCTCAGATCTGCTCTGCTCAGCGGCGTACCCTTTGTGAAGAAGAGGAAGGAAGAGTTCATCTCACCTACTGTATGTCACACAAGACATTTAAGATTTCTCAATAGAGTTTTGTAAACGCTAGAAACTTTGGCAAAAGTTGGCTACAATGGATAATTTAGCAAAGTATGCAAATTAGTAGGTGAAATGTTTTACTCACAGGTAGGATGGATACTTTTGGGAAATTGTGTAGAGTTTCCCACTCTCTCTTCAGATACTCGAGGGAACCGACAAACACGATGTGTTTCAGCTCGTGGTAGTGGAAGTTGCTCGCTCTCAGAGGCATTACAAAGTTACGGAGACCGATCAGTGCCGATTTTACATCTCCAAATATGCACACGACCACATGTCCGCTCAGAACAGTCATGGCTGCTTCACTTCGGGTCTGAAAGGTAAAGAATAGTATGACAAAAATGGTATTCGTGGCAGGAGTTTTGCAGAAACGGGCTTTCTACCAAATGCTTTCTTTGTTCCATGCATGTAGAACACATGCAGTTCATGATGGCAACAGTACATGAAGGTAAAACTATAACAATATTTTAAGTAATAGTTAATATGGGTTTAGAGCAAATAATTCAACATCAATGGTTCTCATGGAACTAATAGAAGAGATAACAACTGCTGTTGATCAAAAACAGTATTGTGTTAGTGTTTTTGTTGATTTAAAAAAGGCCTTCGACACTACTGACCACACCATTCTCCTCGAAAAACTGAATAAATATGGCAGAGGGTTAGCACTACAGTGGGTGTCCAGTTATTTGAATAATAGGAGACAGTTTGTACAGGTAAACAATGTAAGATCTGAATTTTGTGTTAATGGATGCGGAGTTCCTCAGGGCTCTGTGTTGGGACCAAAGGTGTTTATTTTGTATGTGAATGATCTGGTGTCAGGGCTTTTGAAGTGTGTTTTATTTGCAGATGATACCACTTTTTTTTTTGTTTGGGTGAAGATATTGAACGAACGTTAGAAATGATTCAGGCAGAATTCGTAAAAATACAAACTTGGTTCCAATTTAATAAGTTATAATTAAATTTGGAAAAAACAAAACCACATGATATTTAGTAATAGAAAGAAAACGATTCAAGTCCCATTTAAAATTGACAGAATTGAAATTCATCGTTAATGAAATAAAATTTTGGGGCGTCGTTAATGATGAGAAGCTGACATGGAAACCTCATGTAAATTACTTAATAAAAATAGCCAAATCAATTGCATTACTGTATAACGTTAAATAGTTTTTGAATGACAAAGCTTTGTATATATTGTATAATGTAATAATTGTTCCATAATGTATTGAAGTTTCAGGAAAAGCATGCAAAACAATTACAACCCCTATTTTTATTTTACAAAAGAGCTATAAGAATTATTAGTATAAAGTGCTATGATCACCCAGCAAATATATTATTTCATCACTTGAAATTAAAATTTTATGATTTGGTTGAATATAGTATTTTGCAAGTCATGTATAAAGCTCATAAAAATATTACCCCCAAATATTAAATTAAATTTGATTTTAAAAGAGTCATTGTAACCTTAAGGGAATGGAAATGTTTGTAAAACCTCCATTTTGAACTGGTCTGAAGGAGCTGCGTTGTAATTCAGGGAATAGGATTATGGAATTGTCTTAATATCACCATAACAATTTCTAAAACAATTTATATATTTAAAAAGATGACTGAGTTAAAATTGTTGGGGAAGTATAGTGCCATGTGAAGAATGCCTAATGTTTTAGTTTTCATTTTGGAGATGTTGTCTGTGTAGTTATTTATTTATTTTTTAAATAAAGGGCAGATATAAGAAATGTTTTCTTCTTTCTTCACTCTTCATTCATTTTTTTAAAACTTTTTTATGCATTTGTTTTGTTTCTTTTAAATGAATGAATAGAAAAATATATGCATTAGTTCAAAAAGTGTTCAATGTACTGCAGAGCAAACGACATGCCAAACACCTCATTACGGTGTGTTTAAGTGCCCTGTCAACCTTTGGTGCTTTGTGACAAGACACATCTGTCACTGGAGAGTGGAGTGCCAAGGACAAATGAAGTGTTCGAGCGAAGAGGCAGGACCTACCAGAATGACCTTCTCGATGTCTTTGGACGGGCACCAGTGAAACATCCCTGTTGAGTCATATTTCTTTACGTTCTCGTCCATGCTCTCAATCTGCTCGCTGCTTGGGATGAGGAGCGGGTCGTGTCTAATTGAACCAAAAGGCGAGCGAAAGAAAATACCAGAATATCACACATTAGCTGTAATCAATAAAAAAAAAATAAAAATGGAATTTCAGTTCTTGAAACAAATTGCTTGCATTATTTCTTCCTCAGTGTTCATTGCTTGTCAAAGGGCATCGGTGGAAATGTCAACCAAAACTACCACGTCATCAGCAGCAGCAGCATCAGCAGCAGCATTAGCAGCAGCAGCAGCAAGCAGGCAGAAGGAGACAACAAACTGTGTTGACTGGCATGAGCAAGGAGATGCAATTACGCCCCCTTACTGCATACAGTTTCTGATGGGAGTGTGCTGCAGGCTAAAAGCTTTAACAGACCACACTTTAAATATTTCAGCAATTTGCCCGACTGTATTTGCTTTCCAAAGTGAGGGGTATTAATGTTTAAGCAGACCATCAGAACAATCTAAAGTAATTCCACTGAGCGCAGCGTTGAGGTCCCGTCCACCTGACACCGATCTTTAGAGAGATCTGTCATCAGGAGCATCTGTGGTCAGACCACACGTGTTCAGGTCAGAGTGAAAAGAACGTGTCACTTTTATTCAAATGTACTAGACGTGACCTGATCCTTCTAGAACAGGGCTATTCAACAAAACTGCTCGGGTGGGCACAGTTTCTGAAAGCCAACAGCTCGGGGGCCGGACGTCCAGTGATTGAAATCATTATCTAAATAAATTAAAGTTAATTATCGGTTACCTTTTTAAATTGTTTATTTTATTGCACTGAGTCATAAATGCAAAGAAACGGAACCAAAAACCCAAACCCAGAACCTATGTATATATATTTTATTTTACAAAGTGTGCCAGATTGAAGTCACCAGCAGGCCAGAAATGGCCAGCGGGCCGCCAGTTGAATATCCCAAAGTTTAATTTGTAATAATAATAATAATAATAATAAAAATACATTCAAAACTTATTGTAGTGCCATGATTTATTTTTTTTGTCAAGATTTGTATGATGGACAAAAAAAAAAAAAGACGTATAAGAAAATTATAAAATGTATAATTTAAATTTAAATATCTATATATATATATATATATATATATATATATATATATATATATATTTAAATATATATTTAGTTACTGCCTCATTATACAACCCACCAGTCCTTTATTGCTTAAAGTTGGCATGAAAATGCAGAAAAACAAGTCAATTTTCAACAAAAGCACAATCTTTGCAGGTGTCAGCAGTAAATACAGAGCCCGAGTCCTGCTGCACTATACACAATTAAATATGTAATCCTATGAAAAATAAAATACAATCAGACAGCAGCCTTCTGTCCCCGTCACAAACCTTTAAAATTCTCCAAATCATCTCCCCATAAACAAAGCCTATCTTTATGTGAGTACTCTAAAAAAATAAAATTAAAACGCCACCTAAAATAACATGTTAAGTATGCATGAAAGTGTCAGCTGAAACTTCCATCCCTCAGGCGGCGACAGACTGAATCCAAAAACTCCCTCCTTTAGGCTCATGTGGCTCCAGGCAAGGCCTGGATGTCCTTTCTAGAACAGGCTGAGCTGAGGAAGGAAATGTCTTTTCTGCCACTTTCTAACCTCTCAGTGGACGTGGTTTTAATTCATCAAGGTTCTGTGCACACAATACTTTTTATGCAGTAGAGAATGAGACATTTTGCAATTAAAAAAATAACGTTTCAATAAAAATCTACAAGATCCTTTTTTATTTTTAAGAACATACTTTGTAGCTCTGGTATTTTTCACAATGTCCAGCTCCGACTGACTCAGACTTCATATTGGTTTTAAAGAGATTGGAGCTAATTATCTGTTAATTTGTTAGTTTTACTATAATTACAACAAATTCTAAACTATTATTTTATTTATTTAACCAGGCAAATCCCATTGAGATCACAGATCTCTCTTGCAAGGGAAGCCTGGGCAAGAAGGCAGTCTAATGTATGTTTCTGTACTGAGGGAGGAAACCGGAGTACCCGGAGAAAACCCACGCAAGCACGAGAAGAACATGCAAACTCCGCACAGAAAGACCCCAGGTCCAACCGGGAAATAAACCCATGACCTTCTTGCTGTGAGGCAACAGTGCAACCACTGATCCATCGTGCTAATAACTATCCAAATTCATTAGAATTAGAACCTTCTCAGTTGGTGGTTTTCAAGTACCAATACCAGCCTCAAATACTCTTAAAAACACACCGATACTTTGGACCAACACCACTTTTATGCTTGGTGACATCATTTCCTCTTCCACTTCACAAGTAACCAAGAGCAAAAATAAATGTACTGTATGTACTTTAGAGATATTTAAAAAATAAAGACACAGTTTGCTGTGTTTGTTACTTAAACTGAAGTACTTGTACTCAGTCTGAACCCCCCTCCCCCCCTCACATACTTGTGAAGTGAAACAAAAAAAAAAAAAAAAAACAAAAACCCCAACCA